GTTTTGTGAGGAATTTGATGTTAGCACGTTGTTCTGCATTAGCACTCAGCATTATTCCGACGGAGCTCAGAAACACGATCCGCTTCTAACAATGGTCGCGGCCAGACTAACCGATGCACGTGAATGAAACTTTGTGTGACGGTAGAGGGAAGTCCAAGGGTCAATGCCCTACCCTCCTCTTCGTCAATGACGTGGCCGGAAATGAGTCATAAAAGTAATCCGGGTTCTTTATTGCCACACCTTGTATGTCTCAGATCTGATAGCTTTTACGTGTTCTTTGCGTCTGATGTTGAAGGATCTTCATCTTTGGCCTATATACATTAACAAGGAACGTTCAAAATCTACAACTTCCCCTCAAACTATAAATGTTAAACAATAACTACATACACGCTAGCATATTACAGTATATAATAGGTGTAGAGTATATAAAATATATATCACACCTATGGATCCACTTGGCTTACATGTCAATTATACTAAGTGTTCAACACATTAACTGTAACTAAAAACAAAACCTGAAGATGGCACACATGTGCTGAAACATGTTGTCTTAGATAGCAATTGAGTGGGGCATATGTTTGTATTTGTATAGTGTTGTGTTAAAAAAAATTCAATAAATATTGTGTATAGTGATTTACACAACAGGATGCAACAAAATATGATAAATTTTAAGCTCAGCACTGATTCTAATTTTAATTCATAGCGTTTCTAATAATAGAAATGGAAGGACAATGCAAACGACAGTGTACAAACTTGTACAATAGGACATATGATACATGTAACCTGAAAATGAGAGCTTGATAGTCAAAATAGATCATTTCATTAATCAATCAGACATCCAGGGTATGACAAAAATAATATTATGAATAATAAACATTTACATGTAAGCAACAACAATAGCGTGTTGTGTACAGGTGACACACAGAAACAGTCCACAAGACTTGGCAAGTTTCTAGCCTAAAGGGGGAACACAGAAAGAAAATGCTCAGACTTTGATTTATGGGTCTCGTTCCAAAGACGAGGTAAAACACCTTTCGTTATTCCACATAATTTTGAATGTATTCTGAAAATGAAATGTGAACCACAGATTATTTAAATGAAGTTGGTATTTTTAGGCCAACATGATTTACTTAATTAAATAACAAAAGCATGCAATGCACTATGCCAAGTTAAGATATTAACACACCAAGTTCCATATATTCCTTCTTTGCCAGACTTCAAACAGTACTGAATTTTTCTTCAAATTCACAAACAATGTAATTATTACCCTACTGAGACTCTTAATGTGTGTAAGCTATGGTTTAACTGTTGATCATACATATAAAAAATGTAAGTAAATGTTCATTTGGCTCACTCAGACCAAATGTTATCAAAAAGACACAACTACGGTGTAGCACTGTAGCACTGAAAACAACAAAACTGCAGTCCATTGCAATAAAAGACATTCAAAATATGTCAGAATAAATATAGTGTGACGTATTTGTCAGGTGTTGGGTATATGTCACATGACAAATAACTTCACGCCGTCCTGGATAAAGCGAATTTATTCCACATTTGGTTGTACACTTATACAATTCACAATTACACAATTACTGCCATTGGCAGTATCACAATTACATCCACTGCTCTCGGCGACTGCTAGACTTCTGCTGCACTCGGTGACTTCACGATCCGCACTGTGTCACTCCTGATCACACACTCTCTCGTCACATACTGCTCGGCCAGGTTTTTATACCGTTCCCTGTTGCCTCGTGTTACAGCCGTGGTCCTGTGTTATGTCACAGTGGAATGTGCTATTAGGTCACCACGGGAGGGGGCGGAGTGTTGACTGGCTTGTTACCGTAGCAGCAGCGGCAGCGCTCCAAAGCTGTTACGTCACCGCTGATAGGGGAGGGGGTGTCCTGCATAGCGCAAATACGTCACACTATATTTAATCCGATAAAGGACTCTAAAATACTACTGCATCTAATTATCACCAAAGCTGGATACATCTAAAACAGCAGAGCTTTACAAGAGGTTTCCAAGACCACAGCATCAGGTTTTATGCTGTAACTGCTTTATCAAGCCTCTTCCTTCATGCATGAATGCATGCTGGGATAAAAGTGATGATGTAGAATGTGATCTAAAAGTGTAATTACTCTCAGTGTTCTTATGAATCACTAAAAAGTATAGCTAAACATATATTCTAGACTTCTTAAATTAGCTGGATTCATCATTCTCAATTTTTCATCAGTACATCTTTAAATCCTTGAGAATGCAAAATACATGCAAGAAGTATCTGTTTATCAAATCTGTCAAGCAATGCATGACTGATCTGCCTAAGAAAAGTGTAACATTTATTACATCTGTAATGTCACTTTAGTATAAATTTCTGTTCCATGCACATCAAGAAAAGCAATACTTATACAGAATATAGTGAAAGTCTACCAACTGTTTCAGTCTGATTCCAATCCATGGGAATATTAAGGAACTGGAATAACTGCTGTATTTGTCTAATTGTACTGTGAACTACGGAGGATATGTAACATCAAACATGACACAGCAGAATGATTACGAATGCAGATTTCAGAAAGTTGCAGCAGTGGTCATCAGCTATTTAAAAGCACTACTCAGGCCTCATGTCTCTTGAACAGCTAAGGAAAACACACACAAAAAAAGAATGTCAGTGAAGATATTGTTTCCATCTGAAAATTCAAACTTCAGCAGTTCCTTTCAAGATACAAAGAAAGGGTCTAACCAGTACACCATCATGTCTGGTCTACTG